ATGAATTCCATGGATTGCACACATAGTGCCAATACAGTCATTCATAAACTCATTATGAATTTCATGGGTTGCACACTTAGTACCGATACGATCATTCATAAACTCATTATGAATTCTATGGGTTGCACACATAGTGCCAAAACTATATATAACACTAATAAGAAAATGCACATTTATGCATTAAACAAAATCGATCAATATCTTTTATACATAATTGTATATCAAAATGGTAATTCACAAACTCATTATGAATACCATGATTGCACATCTAGTGCCAAAAGTACATATAGTACTGATACGAAAATACACCGTTATACAATAAACAAAATCGATCAATAACTTTTATATACAATTTATGTCGAAATGCACCTATGACTCTCAATGCACATACATTGGGCTATTCAATCACTTTCACAAATTCAACAACATAAACATTCATCTATTCATTTTAGAGCAGTTCATACTCTACAATTTCTCTTGTATCAATTCGATAAACATTATGAAATTATAACGAAATACTGTAAAACATACTTTAAATCAAACATTTGAGGTTGACTCATCGTAAGTCATCCTCATCTTATATAAGTACAATAAGTGCACTCACCTAGTATGCCTCACTAGTATGCTTTAATGATGTTCGACTATTCAACAACTTTATCATTGCCTTTTTTCTTGCTTGACTCAGGAGCTTGGTTACGATCTACACAAGCATCCATAATTACACATTCAATACAAATGTTAGTATACTTTTTAACATTTATATATATAATAATACTCAAAAGTACTATTATTCTTGAATTCTATTAAAATTCATCCTAACTTAAAATTTCAGGCTGAATAGTATCTTCTATACTATGGTATCGATAATCCCTTTAGTATCATTACCATTTTTGTATTCTGGAATCCACAGTATCGATATCTTCCTCTTAGTATCGATACCTACAGCAGTATCGATACTACTTGTATCGATACCTACAACAGTATCGATACTGCTTGTATCGATACCTACAACAGTATCGATACTGCTTGTATCGATACTACTTGTATCGATATCGATATTGTTCATCATTTTCATATTCTTTCTTCAAATTTAACCCTATAGTATCGGTATTATTCTTCTAGTACGGATACCCTTACCCAGATTTTTCATATTTCACTTCGATTTTTACCCACATTTAATTTAAATCTCTTAATTTTATCTCCAACCATACCATTAAGCTCATTATAACTTAACCCTACTAACTTACCTCCATTAATATTCATATAACATCTAAAATTTCCAAAGAACACTCTAAACTAAGAATCACACTAATTTTTCAAACATGTTTTAAATCACTTCTAAGGCTCCCAATCACTTATTTACTTCTTTGACAAGTCAAATATACTTTTAAACTTCAATAAAGGAGCATATTTCATCATATCATTCAAAAACTCATTTTCTTAAATCTCAAATAATTCACAAATCACTTAGTTTTATTTACTCTTAAGTTTTCCTTAAGTTTCTGTATCACTTAAGGATTCAAAACCAACCCATAAAATAAAGGAAAACTAACTTGAAGAAATCTTACCTTTGGCTATGGGGGCTCGGGACGTGAGGAAGAAGAAGATGAGAGAACCAACAGAACTTATCCTCTTATTCTCCTATTCATTTTTATTAAATAACCCAATTAATTGAATATTAAATTCATTCTATCTAAATAACCAAATTGCTTTCCATTCTTCCATTCTTACTATTAAGTCTCAAACACAAATTCTAAAACCATCCCTTATACTTTTCAACTTACTCAAATTAACCCACCAAATTTTAAATTATTTCACTATGATCACCTACCCGATAATTGGGGTATTACATGTTTCATTTTGAAATTCTCATAGCTATGGTTGAGAAGACTAATTTTGGTTTTCCTTACTTTATTGGTTCCTTCATGAGTGACTTGGAGCTTGTCCCATATCTCCTTGGAATTTGAACAAAATGAGACTCTTTCATATTCATCCGGGCCTAATGCACAAAATTAAATGTGCATAGCCTTAGCATTGAGTTGAAACTTCTTCTTCTCTCCATCACTCCAATCATCCATCTCACCGGTTGGAATCGAGTATCCTTTTATGATTGAGTTCCAACTAGATCATTGGCTTGAATGAAGAGCATCATCATATTCTTCTAATAGGCATAATTTATTCCATTAAAATAAGGTGGCTTATTGATCGGTTGAGAGTCTTCAATGTAGTAAGAGCCGGAGGTCGAAGTCATCTTCTCGGTTGTGTCGAGAATCGGTAGAGCTTCTTCAAGGATCTTCGCAAGTCAAGCTCTACTACCAATTATTAGGAGTTTCGACGAAGCTCAATTGACAACCGAATATGGCCAAGAGGGGTTAAAGTGGATTTGAGAAAAATTTAGGGATTAAAGAGATTTAAGATATGAAAAAATTGATGCACGAGGATTTATAGTGGATTGACTTCTCAACCAAGTCTACATCCACTACCTTAGCTCCTCACTAAGGATTTTCTAAAAATTCACTAATTTGTTCTTTTTTTCACAAGATAAAGAGATAACCTTTACAAATCCCCATCTTTTCAATGACTAAGATAGAACCACTCCACTTTTACAAAGGTAATAGAATGTGTAAACAAGAAAACCTCACAAGGTAGGTGTTTACAAAATTAAGCTTAGTAAAACACTAATATTTATAAGAGAAAGAAAAATAAGAGTGAAAAACTCTTCTCTTGTGTTTGATTTCTTGGATAGGTGTTCTAACCATTCTTTAAGTGTCATCAACTTGTTTTTATAACTTGGAATGTGTTTGTGGTTGTTTCTAGCCGTTGTGGATGATTTGGAGCTGTTGGGGATAATTTTCCTGCAAAATAAAATTATCCAGTACATGGAATATCGATACTCCTTTAATGAGTATCGATACTTCCTTTATAATTTTTAAATCAACTAGTCGTTACTAGCCGTTGGGCTTGACCAATATCGATACTATGCTCATAGTATCGATACTATTGTGTAAAGTAGTATCGGTACCCCTTTGAGTATCGATACATATTTTGTATTCTGGAATTTAAGCAATTTGGTAGTATCGATACTACCTAGAGAGTATCGATACTTCTCTTACCTTTGGTATTGATATCACATAAACATTATTGATATTGTTCATATAGTATCGGTACTTCGGACATTGAAAAATAATTTTGTGCTCAAATTCTAGTTTGATGAACTTTGAATTATTTTTTTAAAACTTTGAACAAATTCAATCAAGTCCAAAAATATTCTATCTTAATTGTTATATCAAAATATTATAAAACATAGTTCATCAGAACCGGAGGTTGAAGCCATCTTCTCGGTTGTGTCAGGAATCAGTAGAGCTTCTTCAAGGATCGTCTCAAGGTTGTTAAACCTTCTAATGAGTCAAGCTCTGATACCAATTTTTGGTATTTCAATGAAGCTCAATTTGATCAACCGAATGATTTTCCAATAGGGGGTGAATTGACTTTTTGAGATTAGGGAGTAAGGAGTATAAAGATAAGAGATAATTTGCACAACGATTTATAGTGGTTCGACTTTTCAACTAAGTCTACATCCACTACCTAATCTCCTCGCTTAGGATTTTCTAACAAATTCACTAATTTGTTTTTTCTTTTTCCAAGATAAAGTGATAACTTTTACAACTCCCTATCTTTTCAAAGGCTAAGCTAGAACCATCCCCTTTACAAAAGGTTGAAAGATGTAAACAAGAAAATATCTCAAAGATAGGGTGTTTACAAGAATTAAGCTCACAAGAAAAACAATAAAAAGATTCGCAATGAGCTGAAAACACACTAATATTTACAAGAGAAAAGAAACTAAGAATGAAAAACTCTTCTCTTGTGTTTGATTGCTTGGATAGGTGTTGTGTAACCTTCTTCAAGTGTCCTCAACTTGTTTTTATATGTTGGAATGAGTTTGTGACCGTTTCTAGCCGTTGGTGATGTTTTGGAGCCGTTGGGGATTAATTTTCTGCAAAATAAAACTGCCCAAGACAGGGAGTATCGGTACTCCTTTAATGAGTATCAATACTACCTTTGTAATATTTAAATAAACTAGTCGTTAAAGACCATTGGGCTTGACCAGTATCGATACTACTATGTAAAGTAGTATTGATACCCCTTGAGTATCGATACTTATTTTGCATTCTGGAATTTGAGCAATTTGGAAAACATCTGATAGTATCTATACTACCTAGAGAGTATCGATACTTCTCTTACCTTTGGTATCAGTACCACATGAACAATATCGATATTGTTCATATAGTATTGATACTATAAGAACAGTATCGGTACTACGTACTCAGAAAACTGTTTTGTGCTCAAATTCTAGTTTAATGGATTTTGAATTATTTTTAAAAATTTTGAATAAATTCAATCAAGTCCAAAAATATTTTGCCTTAATTTGTTATATCAAAATATTATAAAACATTGTTACACATTTATTTTTGACATAATGGTAAAAAGACCCTAAACATTTTGTAATTTTTTTCAATTTGCCCCTTATATATTTTTTTTGGAAATTTAAATCATAACATTTCAATTATTTTGAATAAGCCCTTATTAATGATGAACTAACGGTCAAATACTTTTATTGACATGATAATATTAATGGCGCAATTGAAAAAATTGTATATTAATTTTATGTTAAATAATTAAATAGTGATTTTTAATTATTTTATTTAAAGATGACAAAAAATATATAAATCAAGACTCAAAATCTCATAAGACCAAAAAGACCTCCGATATTTAATTTTTTCAATTATATCCTTAATGTTATCATGACACATAAGTTAAAATATTGTCCTTTAGTTCACCAACAAAAAAGGTTTATTTGAAAAAAAAAATGAAACGTTTGGTTTAAATTGTAAAAAAACTTAAGAATATAATTGTAAAAGTGACAAAAAATTTGAGGGTTTTGTTTTGGGATTATGCCTTTGTGTTTCACCCACGGCGTAATTTAATGAAAATTAATACGCAAACAACCGTACGCCTAACTTCTATATAATTTGCCTCTATTAAATTATGAATCTCTTTTCCTTTGCTTCTCTTGCCAATTGAAATCCAGGTTTTTGATTAAAACCCATTTTTGCTTTTGGTCTCTTTCAGCTTCCTCTTACTGGTGTAAGTTTTATCTCCATCTCTGTATCAAGTTCTCTCTCTTTTTCTCCAGCTTTTTGGGTGCATATGTATTTCATTTTTGGGTGTTTTGGGGGGAAAACTTTCTATCCTTCGTCATTGATTCGTCTGCTGGTGTATTAGGTTGGTTGATATGCATAATGATAAAGTAGGTGGTTTTTTCAGCTTGGATTCCTGATTCTTGAATTTATTGAATAGTATAGAATCATTTTTTTTCTTGAAAGAGGAAGAGGAAATGAAAGATAATAAAAAAATAGAATTTGTTTTGGTCGAAATAGCTAAGGAATATTGATGAGTGTTAAATTAGGTCAATAAAATTGGCTTTTCAAAACGAACATATTTAAACTTTCTTCAAGAATTTCTTATTATTTTTAAAGGTTTTCTCTTGAAAGATTGTTATTTGATTTATAGTGCTTTGGTGATCATAGGTCGGAGCCTCATTCTAAATCTTGTTGAGCCTGTATATTGTATAAAAGCCAATTCTTATTGCATAGTTTAATAGGTTCTTGCTTTGGTTGTATATGAACTCTCTCTATCTATCAATCAATCTATGTGTATATAGGTATATATGTATGTAGCCTTCTGGAATTTAAAAGAAATATTCATGTATTGACCGGATTCTCTGACAAATCATGCATAGAATACTGCCAATCATATACTAAAACCATGTTAAATTATTCTTCTAATTTCATGGCATTTAGCTTGGATATGTTTTTCTAGTATTTACTCTTTCGCTTTTCAATGGAGCCTTAAATATGTTTGATTTGGTTGAAAATCAGATAGTTTTTGGACAATTGCATCAATTTCAAGCCTTTTTGATAGGATAGTATTCAAGTTGACTATGATCACTTTCTTTAGAACTCTACATTTTCCCATTTTGCCGCTTGCCAGTTGTTTAAGATCGCACTGTTATACTTTGATTATAGACACTTTTCTGTAAAATATTGTGCATTTGAGAGTTACTTTTGCAATCTAGTAAAAGCAATTTTCTTTGTATTTCATATTTGGAAGTGACATAATCAGCCTTTTCACTTTCATCTGAAACTGTTTGCATATTGCAGAATGGCCACGGACCCGAACTCCTTTGAGCAAGAAGGGCATTCTGTTTCTGGAGATAATTTGCTCAAGTACGAATGGAATCCGATATCGGCGCCGACAAGAGACCTACACAAGGATACCACTGGCTTTGATTGCAACATTTGCTTTGACTCTGCAGAAGATCCGGTGGTCACGCTCTGCGGTCACTTGTACTGCTGGCCCTGCATTTACAAGTGGCTTCATGTCCGGACTTCTTCCCTTGATGCAGAACAGCCAGAGCGGAACTGCCCTGTGTGCAAAGCGAACATATCCTCCAGCTCATTGGTTCCCCTCTATGGCCGTGGTACATCTTTGAACTCTCCATCCAAGGACTGTCACTCAGATTTGGTCATTCCTCAAAGGCCACCTCCATTTGGATCGAACCCTATAACCACATCTTCTCATCCAAGGCGGCGACACGATGAAAACCTTTTACATTCCCAGTCTCAATCATTTCATCACCAGCAATACTTCCCTCACTCTCATGGAGGCTATGAAACCTTGGCATCATCTAGCCTTGGTGGTATAGCAATGACAAATTTCTTCAATCCTATGTTCGGGATGTTGGGCGAAATGGTGTATGCTCGGGTATCTGGGAGCCCAAACATCAGTATGTTTACTTATCCGTACCAATCTTCGCACCCTTTTTTCGGGAATAACTATCTCAGGATGAGAAGGCAGGAAATGGACAAATCTCTTAGTAGAGTATCCATCTTTCTTTTTTGTTGCATCATTCTTTGTCTTCTGCTGTTTTGAAAGCATTGACTTTGGTATTTGTATAGTTGTAAAAAGATGAGTCAATGAACAGACTGAACACATGTTATTTGTTGAAAAGATTGTGGGGGAACTCGCTTTATATTTTTTAAATATACTAGCTATATCATTTTCAGGAATTAATGTGTTTAGATTTATCATATCATGAATTTGTAGCGACTCATTTGGGTTACTTTGGTTTTAGAAAATATTCTCAGTCTTTATTTTCAGAAAATAATTTTTATTTTTAATTTTTTGAAAAATAAAAAATATGTTTGGTTAATATAAATGAAAACTTGAATTCTAAAAATAGTAAAAATATATTTGAAAACTAACTTTTTTAAATTGAGATAAACAAATAATTATTAAATAATATAATCATTAAAAAATTTATTACATAATGTGAGTTATGCAAATATAAAATAATAAAGTTAATAAGAAATTCCATAATACAAAAATTATTTTAGTTTAGAATAAGAATATAATATTAATGCATATTATACATCAATTAAATTTAAAAAATACATAAAAAAAATTATTGTTGTAAGCAAGAGAAAACAAAAATGTCATTAAAATAAAAATATGTTTAGTGGTATTCAATACCGTTAAACTTTTTGGGGCGAGGGGTGGGAATTAGTGTCGTCCATATTTTTTTCTTGTACTCAATGTGACCTTTATACTGGGAAAAAATCAATATAATCTTTTGACCAATCGAATCAAACATTGACCATTACACGCTTACATGACAATTCATAAAACTTACATGATAATTTATAATAGTAATGTGACAGTTCATGACATTGTTGTGGCAGTACACGATGGATATGATGTGGTAGATGAACTTAATTGATTTTTTTAACTAAGTTCAAGGGCCTAATTGATTTTTTTAGAAAATTTGAAGATTTATTTATTCTTTAGAAAATTAATAAATTATTTAAATTTAAAGTATAAAATATAAATATTTCTTAAGATATTTAATACATTAAATATAAAAATACTAAAATAAATAAATTATTAAAAAATTTAGTTTAAGGACCACTTTGAATGTAGAAAAGAATAGGGACTCCATTGATTTTTTTTTTACAAATATTTGGGAGTTTCATGTACCATTAGGTCAAAAAAATATTGTTAGAAAGATTTGAACTTGTGTAAATTAAGTTAAAAATCTAGATTCCGTGTTTTCATATATATATATTTTTAAAATTTTCAAAATAATTTTAATAAAATTAATGAAAACATATTTTTATGTTTTCATAGTTCTACTTTTTTATTTTTATTTTCCATAAACCATTTTCTAATTTTACAATCAAACACATTTTTAACAACATTTTCTATTTTTTAAGAAAATGAAAATAAACTTTATTTTTTTTTATAACTAAACGGTAATTAAGGGGGTGTTTGGTTCAAGGATTGAATCCCACATTCCCATGTTTGGTTGGCCGGGAATCTCATTCCCGGTAATGTTTTATTACCAATAGTAGATTTTTTGGGTATATTACCGGAAATGTCATTACCTCCCTTCCCTTAGGTATTGTAACATTACCGGCTTTTTGGACTAAAATGCCCTTAAATTTTTATTTTTTTCAAAAATATCATTCTTCTGTCATTGAATAATAAAAATTATACGAAGGTTAAATTACAAATTTATCCTTAAATTATTTTAGATTTACAAAAAAAAATCTATAATTAAAATTTTATATGAAGTTCAGGGGTTAAAAAAATTTACCCTTTCATTAAACCTTTTTTATATTTTTAATTTTGTAAAAAAATTATATAAATATTATGAATTTAATTTTTTAAAGAAAATATAAATATTTTACATTTGTAATATTATACAAATATATAATAAGGACAATTTGGTCAAATATACATTCCAATAATCTTTTATTCCTTTAACCAAACACGGTAATCTTACATTCTTGCTAAACCAACCAAACACAAAATACAACATTCCCAGTAATCCTATTCTCTGGTAATATTTTATTCCCACTAGTAATCTTACATTCCTGCTAAACCAACCAAACACAAAATACAACATTCTCAGTAATCCTATTCCCTGGTAATCTTTTATTCCCACTAGTAATCTTACATTCCTGCTAAACCAACCAAACACAAAATACAACATTCCCAGTAATCCTATTCCCTGGTAATCTTTTATTCCCACTAGTAATCTTACATTCCTGCTAAACCAACCAAACACAAAATACAACATTCTCAGTAATCCTATTCCCTGGTAATCTTTTATTCCCACTAGTAATCTTACATTCATGCTAAACCAACCAAACACAAAATACAACATTCCCAGTAATCCTATTCCCTGGTAATCTTTTATTCCCACTAGTAATCTTATATTTCGTGAACCAAACGCACCCTAAGTATTTTAATAAAGTGATGTAATTTTTTTATTTAATTTAACAGTTAAGTGTCATTTTGTTGAAGTTTACCCTAAAATATTAATCATCTAAAAAATGTTTGACAACGCGAATCAATAACAATAAATTATATGTCTATCTTATTTAAGCTTGAGTATTCGATGAATCGTGTCGAGTTAAAAAATTTAGTTATTTGAATTGACAAGTCTTATTTTATAATTCAAATTTTATTTGAAATTTTCTCAAATTGAATCAAGTTGAATTGTTCGAATTTCAATTTGAGTTTAATTTTAAATATCTATATTGTTATGGTACCGACTGATTTCAATTTAAATAACTTTTTATAATTATATACAATATATGTGTGTATGAATATATCAATATTTTTTTCACATGTAATATTCATATATCATGCAGAGTTGAGGAATTCAACTCTAACTTGAAAATTTTGTCCACTAATTATTAAAAATTTTAAATTATTTAAGTCTTATTTTATAACTCAAAATTTATTTGAAATTTGTTCAAGTTGACTAAATTCGATTCAAGTCTTTTAACATTGAATCGAGTCAAAATTTTTATTTTTTCAGTCGAATTAAGTTTTCCTCACTCCTAATCTTATCTATGTCATGTATGATGTCATCTATCACGTTGTTATTTTTTAGTATTATTATTAAGTTTTTATCTACTTAAAATTAAATGATAATTTAAGCTTTACGATAAAAATAAAAATAGATTAAAGAAGAAAAATAGGAATAATTTAAAGTTGCATTACGTATTAAGCAAAACAAATACCATCAACATAATGAATACATAATAAATCATTTGATCTGATTCTGTGATTAGGGCTGTAAGCAACACTATAGATAGTAATTTATTCGAGTTTAAATTGAATAGAGTTTGATTAACACTCAAATTGAGTAGACTCGATTCGAGTTCAAATTTAACTCGATTTTTTAAATAATTGAAGTAAGTTACTTGATACTAGACTCAAGCTCGATTTTGTCTCAAATTCTTAATGAGTCGAAGCAAGTTACTTAATATTTGACTCTAAAATATTACGAGCAACTTGAAAAAAATATATATTAATTTTTTAAATTTTAAATTAAATTATTAATGTTGTGTTATACTTTTTTTTAAAAAAAATTGTAATAGAAGGTTTCATGTATTTAATGTTTATATTTGAGTTTGAGCTTCTATCAAACTAAGTCTGAGAATGTTTCGAGTTTAATTTTTTTCAACTCGAGTTAACCTTCAATTTTTGATTTCGAGTTTGAAAATTTTAAATTTGTGAGCTTTTGAATGATTTATACTCAATTTTAAACCTTTTGAATTAAATTAAATCGAACTCAACAATAATTAAACTCGACTTGATTCGTTTATGTCGCTAGTTAAAGAAGCTCATTTGGAGGATATATAAAAGTGGGTTTAGCCCATCCCAATATCTGTCTCTGTTTTTTCCGAGCTTCAAAATCATTTTCTTTGCAACCAAAGGAACACGGCTAATTTTCTCAAATAATGTAGTTGACAAAAATTTATTCGAATAAGGTACTCTCCAATTGTTTTGTGAAATAGGGTGCTACAATAAACCGAAGATGCATTGGACTCATCTCCCATATATTTTCATTTCTATGTAAATATACAAAGGGTGAATTACACAATTAATCATTCAATTTTACTCTCTCTCCAAATTCACTCATTGTACTTTTAAGTTTTTCAATTTAATCACTCAACTTTTCTTTTACTCCTATTTTGATCACTTATCGACCATTGATCAAGTTATTATATGGAAGCCAATTTGATCCATCAGCTCTAGTATTGAATTTGTGTACTAAAGAAACCAACATCGTGTTTACATAATTTCTAATTGAAATTGTTGTCTAAAACAATGCAGTTGCATTTAATTAATTTATTTTTATTATACCCTAAATTAGTGGAGGGTCATAACTCCCACCTAAACCCAATTTCAATTAGAAATTATGTGAGCACGATGTTGATTTCTTTAATACACAAATTCAATGCTAGAGTTGATAGATCAAATTGGCTTCCATATAACAACTTGAACAATGGTCGATGAGTGATCAAAATAAGAGTAAAACAATCAATGTCATTATAGAGTGATCCAAATAGGAATAAAATAAAAGTTGAGTGATTAAATTAAAAAAAATTAAAAGTATAATGAGTGAATTTAAAGAGAGTAAAATTAAATGATTAATTGCGTATTGGTGAAAAAAATATGAGTGAGATATTATACTTTATGCGTCTTCGGATTTCCTGTACTTATTTCGCGGAATAATTTGAGAGTACATTATTCGAACAATTTTTTTTAACTACATTATTTGAGAAAATTAGCCCCCAAAGACGGCTCCCCAAAGTGCAAATTATTAAAGCCCTCGCTTTCTCCTATTCTCAATCTATAAACCTCAAAGAATCCAACAACATGGTCAAAGATCGAAACGTTTCTCCCTCGGAAAACACCGACGAGGAAACGGGAACGCCATCGAAATCGAAATCGAAATCGAAATCGAAATCGAAATTGAAATCTGAGTCAGAGTCTGAAGATACAAAGTCCAAAAGCCATAGCAAAAGCGACAAAGGGAAAAAACAAAGCAAATCTCGAAGAAGACACAGCGGCAGCGGTAGCAGTGAAGAAGATTCGTATTCGGATTCAGAATCCCAATCGGAGTCCGACTATTCGGAACGGAATAGGGTCTCGATTCGGAGAGGAGGAGAGAAGAAAGAGGAAGAAGAGAGAGAAGAAAAGGAAAGGAAAAGGAGGAGAGAAAAAAGGAAGGAGGAAAGAGAAGGAGAGAAGAAGAGAGAAAGAGAAAGAAAAAAGAAAGAAAGGAAAGCAAAGAAAAAGGAGAAGTCAGAGAGAGGAAAGAAAGGTGCAGTTACTGATTCTTGGGGAAAATATGGTATCATCAGAGAAACTGATATGTGGTAAAATTCACTCATGAATGTGAAATTCGGAGCTGTTTTCCTCGTATATGTTATAATAATTACTCTTTCTCTAATGTGTAGGAATAAGCGGCCTGAATTCACAGCATGGTTAGCTGAAGTAAAACAGGTAACTTTTTGTTTCAGCATTTTTGGCGTTACAAAAATTTGTTTTCCATCTAAGGAACTATTTTTTGCTCTGTTTCCTGACAGTTAATGTAACTAGATTTCTGATCTCTCTTCACAGATGAACTTGGAAAGTTTGCCCAACTGGGAAGATAAGCAGTTGTTTAAAGAGTTTGTGAATTGGTCTTTCGATTCTCTTCTAATGGTCTCTATGATTATGCATGAAAATTTAACTTTCTATTGTTTAAATTAAATTTGCAAATATAAGAATATTTGTTTGTTTTTGCAGTTTTATGGAACCTTTCCTTCCAAAAAGTAAGGTTTTGTGATTATATAGAATTATAGATTATTTTTCAACAAGAATGTCAAAAAAATTTTAATCAGAAAAAAGAGAGACATGGTTCGGTTTTATGCATTTCCCCCCTTTTTCTTTGAAATATATGTTTCTTCGACTCTGTTTCTCTAGAAGTACCCATGTTCACCTCAAATCTGAACATAAGTTTGGGGATATGATATGACCCTCCAAGAATGTTCTAAATATATGAAAATTTTGGAAGAGATTGAACATATCGGTGTTGGACACATATGAATGTCAGACACTCCAAGCAGCATACCTTGAAAGGATGTATTCCATTGTCTACTTAGGTAAATAATAGTCCCAGAAAAATAGAGAAGAGCTAAAGTAAACCGTTTCATTATTTAAGAAATTGGTCCTTTATCCCCACCAAACTTTGAGTCCTGTTTAGCTTTTATTTATTGGAGATATATTACCTTCCAAGATATAAAGTAACAATAATTTGGCATGTATCTTGGGTTACCATTGAGGCACAGATATGATAGCTTCTTTGTTTGCCATTGCAGATATTATAATCTTGATGCTTGTTATAAGCTTGAAATGGAGAAAGAGAGCAAGAAGGGTGTTAAAAAGGTTCTCCAAGCAGAGTGTACTGTATTCAATGATGAAGAACAACGCCGGTATGTTTCAACTTTCGCTGCACACTGCTATATCGAAATACAAGTAGCCGTTTTTGCAGCTTTCTTGAATGTCTTTCTTTGAATTGGACTTGTATTTGAGCTTTCACGCGTTCCTTTTCTCTTAAGCTTTATTCTAGTGATCAAGTTCGCAATTGATTGGTATACTTGATTATAAACTGTCATTTGTGCTATCAATTAGCACTGTTATTACCCATCATTAGATAAAGTTCTAATGGAGGTAGTTTCTTTAATGCAGTTCCATTAATATACGGTTCTTGTCGCTTACAGAATTTGCATTTTGATTGCTTGTTTATTTACACCCCTTGATCATTTAAGGCAAGGATGATGTTGCACTTCATGCTGTTGTATAACATGTGTATCTGAGATGCTCAAATTATGATGATGATGCCATTGACCCTAAACAATAATTGTTTGTAAAATTTCAACCGTAAAATGCAATCCAAAACTTTTTATAGTATAAAGTGCTCCACGGTTTATTTCTGCCTCTTTGGAGGACAAAGTAATAGTGAATGCATGTTCTCTTGATTTCCGTGGTATAGGAATTTGAATGTCAAATTTGAACATTTTAGCAATGATAAGCTTGTTAATGTTACATGCATTATATTCTTGTGTCGGCTCATACTCTCAATTCTGCATGTTCAGGCAAGAACTGCTTATGGCTCGTGAAAAGCAGAAGGAAGAAGAGGTCGAAGCTTTGATACGTGCCATGCAAAGTGGAATGGTTAGCTCTTTCTTAGCCTTCTTAACATAGTGGCTATTTTTCTTCTGATCTGATGAAACCTGGGCAAGTTATGTTTTCTGACCTCCATCTATATGAATTTGCAGGCACAAGAAATGACCGAGCAAGCTCAGCTACGGGAAGAGATGACTTACATGTACAAAATTGGCAACTTTGAGGTGAGGATGCACTATCAGTTTTATCTGACCTTTGCAATCCTCAATTATTCTGTCGTTAATGATTGATGTAGCGTTGTTGTTTTAAAAATTTACAGGCTGCAGCTGCCATACAAAAACGGCTGGATCCAGATGTTGCTATGTAAGAAGAATGGCCTAAGACGGTGCTAACAATTACTACGAATCCATGGATTCCACATTGGGTATGTAAGATGCTTGAAATATCGATCAGCTCTAAGCTTTTACATCGACTGCTTATGGAGAATGGTATCACGACTATTCATACTACGATGAATGTAATTGTATCCATTTTACCAGGATAACAGTTTCTTGACTACTCATACTAGGTTGAATGTAATTGTATCCATTTTACCAGGATAGCAGTTTCTTAAATTTTCTGTAACATCCCAAACTATGAGTTAGTGTAAAACTTCAGAATTTGGTAATTAAAATAAAATAGTTGAATAGTTCAAGAATTTATTTGGAGTTATTTTATGAATTATTGATAGTAATTATTAAATGAAGTAAAGGGCAAAATGGTTATTCGACATGAAAGATTTTTAATTTTCCTATATAAGATAAGGAAGGGAGAAGATTTCTCCAGAAAAAATTTCTTCTTCTTCTTCTTCAGACGTGAGCTACCAAAGGCAAATGTGAGTTTCTTTGTTAGTTGATTATTTGTTGATTTAAAGAATGAGTTTTGATTCTTAGGTGATATTTAAGCTTAAGGAAAACTTAAGTTGTCTTATAATCAAAAGATGAAGAAGTTATAAGAGATTAAAGAGGAGTGTTTAAATGAATTTATGGAAAAGAGTTGATAAGTTGAATTCGAAACTAAATTTGACTTGTCATCAATCTAATTAAGAGATATGAAGCGTTAGAACTGGAATGAGAACATGTTGCAAAGTTGGTGTAATTCTTGAATTTTATAAGGATTATAGGATTTTAAGGTTTAAGAGGTGATAAATGAGTAATAATGGATATAAGTAAATGGATGTGAGTTAGGAATATGTAAGGGGATGAAATATGAAGTTTTTGAGCTAAGTTGAGTAATTTTGGTGCATAAAATATGAATTCTGGGTTGGTGTATATCTGTACACATTCAACATGTACCGATGCATCAAAGGTAAATTTCCAGAAATTATTTAGTGTGCATCAATGCACAGGAAGTGTATCGATGCACTCCTTTAAATGAAAAACATCGAATGTAATTTGTGTATCAATGCATAGTTAGTGCATCGATACATTGTTAAGGAATGTACCGATACACTATAGTGTATCGATGCCTATCTTGAATAAAAGATGAAATCAACATTTCTTTTAGTCTAAGGAGTGAACAATTAGAGAACTGATATGGATCCATGTATGTTTATGTAGATACTAAATGTAATCCCGTTCCAGAACAATTGAAGAATTAGGATCGATTCAAATCAAGCAAGACTAAGGTGAGTGTATAATATAGGGATAATCCAATGGAAATAGGACTTGCGATGAGTCTATTTCCTATGTTAATTTCATAGTATAATAGTTATGAACATGCATACATTATAGTCTTTATTAAATATGCATAAGTCATATAGGTTTATATTTGATGTGATATATGTTATATGACTCATGTTATATGATCTAAGATGGATGGTTATACACACATGTGAATGTGATTGAAGGAAAGACATATGTGATCACAAAGGAAATGACATGAGTACATGTTTATATGGAAAATAATATTAATGCCCATGTTATGTAATATGAGAGCTCTAGGTATAGTTGGCATGCCAAGAGTCGAGGGTTTCATAGGTCCTTCGGGAGATATTCACAGGTCCTTCGGGACAAATTTCATATGCCACTTAGTGGGAATTATACAAGCTGTGGTGACAGCAGATGTGCACAACCTCTATGTACTCGAATCCCTTAAGTTCTCAGTATATATATGGGCCTATAAATAATATGAAAAGTGTGTATTTCATTATATGTTACAGTATCAATATTGTTTATAATGAATCATATGAAATGATATGGAATTCTGAATAGTATGTTATATGTTCATACTCATAAGAAATGCATTATCATTATAAGTTTATGTCTCACTAAGTCTATGACTTAGCGTGTAAGTGATTTACACGTAGGTACAGAAAAACAAGAAGACCAGTCTTAAGAGCAGCATATCATCATTTGAAGATCAGATCAGAAGCACCTTATATAGTATGTCCACTTATGTAATATATGTGTTGGCATGTAAATAGAGTCATATAGTATGTATGCTCTGATCGAGTTTTGTAATGTTTTAAACGTATTTATAAATGGTAATTTATAGTGATGAAAGCTTAAATTTTTATGAGTTTTATATAAGTTGAGTTGAAGTTACTGTAGTAGTGCATCGGTACACTGTAGCACTGCATCGATACAAAATTTATATTCGATGTTTTTGTGCATCGGTATACTGTAGCACTGTTCATGGTACTGTTCAGCAATGTTTACGACACTATTTACATAGTATCGGTACTATTCATACAATATAGTACTATTCATAAAAATATTTTTACCTTAAATTTGTTATAATGAAACATAATTCAGTAGTATATTATTGTATTTTCTTAATATAAGTCCAAATGTTCTATTATTTTGTAAGAATATTGTTTTGAAAAGTCAATGTGACACCTCGGATTCGTATTCGGGTTGATACGGGTTGGGGGTGTTATATTTCCTCACAACTTTTCTTTTTTGTAGGAATAACATGTTTTGTAATACAAGTTTAGTATACAAGAAACTAGTATATATTGTGCTACATTAATCTCTAAGGGTCTTCTATGTATATTGCTGGCTATGTCTATGGCTATGCACTGTATTCATTTGACTGAATATTGGTTTTGAAGATTAGATATCATGGAGCCCTAAACCGTAAATCATGAACCCCAAACTTAAACTAATAACCTTAAACCTCAAACTATAAATTTGCCATAAACCTTAAACCATAAATCATAAACTATAAATCTTAAATTTTAAACCCTAAACCATAATCTTTAAATCTCAATTCTAGCCCTAAACACTTAAACTTTAACCTATAAACCCGAATCATAAACTTATTTTTTAAGCCCTATCCGTTAAATCCTAAATTTAAAACAACAAACTTTAAACTTCAAGTTTCAAACCCTAAATTTAACCAATAAACCTTAATATTTAAATCATAGATCGTATATCCTAAAATCCTAAACCATAACCACCAAGCCATAAATCCAAACCTCTAACCCAACCTTAAACTTTGAACATATAACCTTGAACTCATAACCCTAAACCTTGAGCCCCAAGCCCTGAGCCTTGTAAGGATGAGCAAAACTCGATTTGACTCGAAATATTGATCTTTTTGACTTGGCTCAACTCAAATTAACTTTTGAGTTATAATTTCATAAACTTGACGGCTCAAAAAAATGTTTAAATTCAAGTTGAGTTATAAAATAGACATCTAATAACTCAATAGTTTTAAAAATTAATAGATTTGTTTTCAGGTTTGAATCGAGTCACTCGACTCTGTATGATATATGTATATCACATATGAAAAAAATATGAAGAAATATATGTATGGTATATGATTATAGAAATATTTTTAAATTAAAATTAAATAGTATCATATTATTATAAATATTTAAAATTTAATTTTAATAGAAACTTGAATAACTCGAATTAATTTGAATTTTATAAAGTCGACTTGATTCGGAAAAAAATTCAGATTAAGTTTGAGTTATAAAATAGGATTCATTAACTCAAATAACTTAAAATTTTTTACTTGACTCGACTCGATCAAATGTTCACCTCCAGAGCTTCGAGCCCTGAGCCCTAATCCTTAAGCCTTAACTCCTAAACTCTCTAAACCCAAAAGTTTCAAACCTTGAGTCTTAAACCTCAAAAGCTTTAAGCCTTAAATGTTAAATCATAAAACCTTAAATCCTAGGTATTATATTAAAATAATTTTTTAACATGTTATTTAGTTTGATTTAATCAAAACTTTAAAGGTTCATTGTCACACCCCAAAATGTGGGCTAAAATTTTTGTTGTTGTAAGGGACTGAATTATAAGAATACAAAGTATGAACTTCAAATTAAAAAGAAATTATGGGAATCTAGTGACCAAATTAATAGATAGAGGAAATTTAAGGACTTGAAGAGTCATTTTCTTAGTGAAATAGATTTAAAACCCTCCCACATGTTTGGAAACTTCCTGAAATTAGAAACCTTATTTTTCTCTTTCTATCTTTATTCTTTTCTCTATTTTTTCTCTCATTAAGAAAGATTTTAAACCCTCCCACATGCCTAGAAACTCTATTTGCTGTCGTCCAAGCATCCGATTACTAAATTATCGGCACAATCGAAATCTTAGTGTCGTCTTGAGTCGATCGGTGTCCTCAGAATTATCTTCAGCGTTGTTGTGAAGGGAGGTGAGCATATAGAAGGTTTGATCGTTCGTTGGAAGTTTATTTCATTGCCTCCGTCATTTTTTCATCTTGAAATAATCCAAACAATGGACTCATCGACCCTTGTTTTGTAAATTTAGAGAATTTGGTGGCCGTATGGCCACTGTAGGCGGCCCCACGCGCCCCACGTGTTACCACTTGTGCGTGGGCTTTGTTTGCAGATTGGGATGGTCTGGACCGGTCCAGACCACTCGAGAGACCTAAGCTTTAATACTCCAAATTATGGATAGTGACCAAAATGTAAGTTTTAAAAGTATAGTGACCAAAGTATAAATTTTTGAAAAGTTTAGGAACCAAAAATATAATTTTTAAAAGTTATATATTTCAGCCTATAAGTGAATAGTTTGTCTTGAAATTAAGGTTTTTGTGGGAATCAGAATGTTGATTCGTGATTGGTATTAAAAGCTAAAGTAGTAAAATCTAGTAAGAAATTGGATAATCGGATCGGATCGAATCTGAATTTAACAAAAAGTTGAAGGATGATAGATAAAAGTTTAAAAATATTATTTTCATATTTTAAAATAGTGAAATTTAGCATGAATCAGTGGAATTGAAGTTAATTTTCCCTATTTAGCTGAATTTGGGAAAAATTTAGTGACTAAATTGTAAGTTTCAAAAATTGCATGGCTAAAGTAGAAAGTCAACTTCAAGTTGGTTCATCTTTGACTATGAGATATTTTAATGGAAGATATTTTCAATGGCAATTGGTAATTATTATGATTCATTAAGGACAAAGTTGGATTCTTATTAATTGAATTTTAAATTCAATTATATTATAAACATGACAAGTGTTTTAAGCTATAATTACTAGATAAAATCAAGCAAAAATCAACCCATCTTCCACCCCAAAAATCGTGAACTCTATTGTTGAAAGGTAAGGAATTTTCATTTTG